GGTCTCTCACTGCTGTGGCCTCTCCCGTCACGGAGCACAGGCTCCGGACACGCAGGCTCAGCGGCCATGGCTCATGGGCTTAGCCGCTCCGCGGCATGTGGGATCTTCCTGGACCGGGGCACGAACCCGTGTCCCCTGCATTGGCAGGAGGACTCTCAACCACTGCACCACCAGGGAAGCCCACCCATAAAGTCTTTTAAGCATGGTTTTATAAATACTACCTTGTGCAATAACTGTTGGGAGCACTAAGTTCTGAGAGTTATTAAGATAATTAAAAGAACAAAAAGGTGGGGAAGGAGTCTTTAGAGAGATGTCTGGGCATTTAAGCTATTCTCCGTGTTAAATGGTTATCAAATTCCTAAGTAGTGAATGGTTGATAAGCAGAGAATTCTAGTGTTACTGTTTGCCTGCAGAGTTCACTCCTTTTGGTTTGATGTAAGGTCTCTATAATCTTAATATATATGAACAGATTGTTTGGTAATGGTGTATGTGTGTATGGTGTGTGGTGGCAACAGCCACTAAAGCAGAAAGTGGAAAGGTTTAAGTACTAAAGCCAGGGAACACTATGTGTAAGTTTAAAATGATATCATAAGATAATAGAAACAAATGGAATTTTGTGTTGATAACAGAACTCTTGATTGAAAGTAGAAGTTCACTTGAGCTAGTTTAAGCAATTAAAGAAAATGCAGGGTGAGAGCTGGGGTAGGGTGGGGGATTAGGAGGCTTTGGGGTTTAACCAGACCAAAGTGGTTAATGCTAGGCCACTCTAGGGTTAAGCTAAGCCTCAGGAATGAGCTGGAACCAGGAATTTGAATGTGCTGCAAACTCTGTTTCTTTTTTGCGCATCTAATCATTCTCACCTACCTCTCTGTCTATCATGGCTTTTCATTTTATATTCTAAAGGTTGAAGGTCTCTAACAAGGGTAGGGATTACTGCTGCTATTTCACCACTATTTCAGAGACAGGTAGTAGAGAGAAATGCTATTAAGGAAGTATATATTCCTTGTCTACTAAGAGGTTTTATTTGTTTTAAATCAAGAATTACTAGCTATTTTCCTTTTTTATTATGGTGTAACTCACACAAAGTATATACACAAATCTTAGGTGTACAGCTCGATGAATTTTCACATATGTAATCACAACGGTTCAATACACAGAAACTTTCCAGCACCCCAGAAAGCTACTCATGCTCTCTCCCAGTTAATCCCCCATTAAAGGTAACCACTATTATCACTTTATTTTTAACCTTTCTTCATCTCAGTTCACAAGATTGTTGGAATGTTAGAATGCACAAAGAATGCATTCAGAACTGCGGTAGATATTTCAATAGTTCATATGCTAGAGAAAGAACTTAGTGAAGGTAGTGGCTTTACGTATTTTTTGAACATGACCTACAGTAAAAAAAAAACAACCCCCCCCACATTTTTTAACAACATGGCCTAGGATATACATACAATCATCTCTCCACAATTTCAAGTGGGATCATGAGCAGCATGGCTTCCTCTGATTCAAGGGTCTATGGAGTCAAGAACACAGCCACCAGGAGCTCTGCTGTGAGCATCTCCATTCAAGAAACAAGCCATATTAAAGCTAGAATCCTGGTCCCAATCTCAGATTCCTGGAACAGGTATCTTATTGTTCCAGCTTGGGTCAGGGGTCTGCTCCTGGACCAATTCACTATGGTCAGGAACATGGGTTCATGCCTATATAAAATGGCTGCCAGAGGCTCATAACTGATAGCCTGCAGAGCTGGTGAGGAGAAGCAGTTCCCAGAAGAGGAATGGACCAGAAAGATAACCTAGGAGGTCTATATTATTGCGCCAAATCTGAATTTGATTCTCAGGTTCTCCATATACTTGCTCTATAATACAGGAAAAATTATGTCATAATTCATAGAGTGAATATATAGTTTCTTAGCCTGTTCCAAGAATGTGCTACTTTCTAAGCAAATGATAATATACACCTTTCCTCAAGAAACAGCCTTATTCAGGTATAACTGACATACCATAAACAATATCCATATTTAAAGTGTATAATTTGGTAAGTTTTAACATATATATACACCCATGCAACCAGTACCACAAGCAAGATAATGAACATATCCATTATCCCCAGTTTCCTCGTGCCTCTTGGAAATCCCTCCCTTCACCCCTACTCCATTTAGCTATTATTCTTAATTCTTCAAATAGCTCCCACAATTCCTTACAGACACAAATTAGACTCTGCTATTTGAAAGTGATCTTTTCTCCCATTACAATTTTAAATAGGTGATCGCTGTTTAGAAAAGCTATTGCTCTAGCCATTTTACTGAACGTGTTTCAATTCATTCCTTGGGTTTTCCAAGTAAGCAATCATAATACCTAAAAAGAATATTTTTCTTTTTCTCCATTTATTTATTATTACCGTTTGTTTTGTTTGGCCTTCCTGGTTCAGTTAGGACCTCAGGAAAATGTTGGCTAGTAGCAGCAGGCCTGCTCCTAACAATTTCAGTGTCCAGGCAAGAGTACAAAAAGAGGTCCACACACCATATATCTAAATATTTAAAGATTATAAAGCTAACAAACTGCTAGATTAAAACGTTCTATTTAGCTACCTTGAACACACCTAACTTATAGCAAACACACATATAATAACCTAGAAGGCTAGGTTCAAGTTTAGAATCCTTGAGTGTCACATCTCCCTAGTGTACTTGAGGTAGATTTTTCAGAGCTTAACTTGAATGACCTTTACTTCAAAAGCTCTTGTCTTGCATAAAAATTTTTTCCCCATGGTATTGGCTAATACTTTAATTTTTCTCCTTAGAATTAAAATCTTACAAACACCTCATTCCTAGAGTAAAAGAAATCAGCACTCATTATACTCACAAAGAAAATCCAAAACCCTTAGCAGATTTTATGCTTTATTTTAGAAATTACCTTTCAAGGCAATTCTTACAGACCCCTAATATTCATTGGTCCACAATTTCTACCCCTACTCCCACTCCACTGGAAGACCCTAAGAGCCGAGTTTCCTTAGCTATGGCTTGAATATCCTTATGACTTCTAAAGATAATACCATCAATGGATACGTTCTGAGCAAGTCATCTGAATATTCACAAACGCGTATTAAAAAGGCTGGATCTGGAAGTCAGGCCATCCAGCGAGGAGGACTTGTGACCTGGACAGGGCTTCAAAGCCAACCAACTGCTTGTTCATTGGTATCAGCTGGAAGAACTTGAAAAGGGAATTAGGAAACCCAGTTGAAGTTCCAACTGTGTCACTACATGGCTGAACTGCTAGTGAGTCACTAGAACTCTTTCTTGAGGCTTAGCGTCATTATCTATAAAATTGGGATAAGGATACTGGCACTGGGTCAACACTGGTTCAACCCGTTTTTGGGAAAAAGCACAACTTGTCTAAGTTTCAGTTTCTGTGCCTGTTACAATTAAGACTTGTGCCGTCTACCTCAGAGGGGGGTGTAGATGGAGAAGGCACAACCTCTGTGAGCTTCAGTTTCTACAGGTGTAAAGAGGTAAGAACACCCGGCCAGCCCACCAATAAAATTCCTAGAAGAACAGAGGAAAATGGACAAAAAAGTTGCAAAATGTAGTGGGCTATACAGATGTGAATTGTCTCACACTTAAAACTCAACGAACAGACAGACTTAAAGAGTACTTGTGCGTCTCGTTCCTCTTGGCTTCCTTGTTACAACCCCACAACATAAATCAATACCACTTAGTAAGACGGTCCAGAGCGGCGACCGCGTCTGTACACACAGGAGCGCCAGCCACACCCCTCGAGGCCGGGACTGGGCGGGAGGGGGCGTGGCGCAGCCCAGCCCGCCTATCGCGACGCCCCGTCCCGTCGCGCCCGCGCCTGCGCCTGCGCCGTGCGTACCCACCGGCCTCGAACGTCCCGGCGGGAGGTAAGGGGATCGCGATAGGCCCCCACGGGGGCATAAGACCCTGGCTGGCGTCGTGGGCAGGGTGCCAGCCCCGCGCGCGGGAGGGGCGCCCCGCAGGAAGCAGGGCATCAGGTTGTAAGTGCGAACGCTCTGGGAGTTTCTCTCGGCTTGAAGAAGTGGTGGTTTCGGTTTTGGAGGTGCTTTCGAAGCGAGTATAGGGAGGCGGCCGACCAGGCGAGCTTGACGGCCTTCCGGGGTCTCAGGGTGGAAAAGTTTACTTCGTCTGCCCTGCGTGTGACGCACCGTGGGTCCTAGGTCATCAGGGTCGCCGGCGTCTCGGTCCGGAGAGGGGCCTGCGAACCCGTTCGGGGGCGGGGGTGGGGGGAGGTGGCGTTTGGTTTATGTGGCCCAGGTGCGCGGTGGGTGACGCTGCGAGGGATGACGCGAGGCTCGAGGGTGTTGAGGGGAGGTCCTGGGGCGCGAGGGGGGAGCCTCCTGTCAGCCATACCGGGGAGGGTGGTTCGCAGAAGGCCCCACGTCTGTCTCCCCTTTTTACAATTCGGAATCGGAGGCTCAGAGAGCAGACCGTACTGTAGGTAGGTCCGAGGGCCTTGACTTTTCTTTCCAAATTCAGTAACCCTTCCCCCAGTGAGAAACACGGGGCGACGTGCCTGAGGGAATTCGGTGCCCCAGGTGTGGGGAAATGTGGGAAGGTGTTCATAACCTTTTTGGAAGGGGGCGTTGCCAGCGATATTGGACTTTTCCTGAGAAATGGGGCTCTTCACTTATAAATAACCTTAAGTAATTTCGTTAATCTCCAAGTACTTTTTCCTTATTGGAAACGTGAGTAGTATGGTACTCAGCTGGTAATAGTTGTAAGCACTAAAGGTAGTTTGTAAAGCACCTGGCACCCGCCCCGCCCACCCCAAGTGTTAGTGCAGTGAATATGATTGCAATTCTTTGACCTCGAAATATTTGACCTGTCTTATGGGAAACATCAGTTTACACATTATTTTAAGAGACTTTTTATTTTGAAATATTTTACAATTACAGAAAAGTTACAAAAGTAGTACAGAGTTCTCTACAATTTCCTTTAATGTTAACATCTTACATAACTATAATGCAATTATCAAAAGTAAGAAATTAACTTCAGCACAACGCTGTTAACTAAATCACCAACTTTCTTCAGATTTCATCGTTTTTTATACTGAAGTCCTTTTTCTGTTCCACGATTCAATCTAAGATCCTACGTTGCATTTAGTTGGCATGGCTCCTTAGCCTTCTCCAATCTGTGACAACTTCTAAGTCTTTTCCTGTCTTTCATGACCGTTACACTTTGGAAGAGTCCTGGTTAGTTATTTTGTAGAGTGTCCTTCAATTGGGTTTTGTCTGATGTTTTCTCAAGATTAGATTAAGGTTGTGTACTTTTGTTGATACCACAGAAGTGTATATGCCCTTCTCAGTAGTTCATCATATGAGGGGTACATGATATGACACACTGCATTTGGTATTGCTCTTGATCACTTGATTAAGGTGGTATCTGCTGGGATTCTCTAATGTAAAGTAACTATTTTTCCTTTTGTAATTAATCAGTATCTTGGGGGAGAACTACTTTTAAACAATGCAAATATCCTGTTTCTCCTCAAACTTTAATTTGTTGATTTTAGCATCCATTGATGATCTTGCCTTCAGTAATTATTACTGTAATGTTCTAATAGTGGTTTTGTTTCCCTCATTCCTTCGTAATTTATTAATTGGAGTTTTTCTGTAAGGAAGGGCTGCATCTTCATCCCATTTATTTATTTATTGTTAATTTTTTGTATCTGTATGGACTCATTTATTTTTCTATTGGTTATTTTCCTACACTTTTGTTATTTGTTTTATGTCTCAAATTGTTCCAGTTTCGTCCATTTCAAGTTTTTTCAGGTTGCTTCCTGTGCCCTTTTTATAGGCTCTCATCCTTTTTTGAGAACTTCCTTGCTTTTTGGATGCTCCAAGCTTCTCTTGTATTTTCCCTGCCCTGGAATCCACCATTTCTCCAAAGACCCCTGCTTTCTTTGTTTGGAGAGTAGTATTTAAACACCAAGGATCTGGGTGCTAGGTGTGCTCATTGCTACTGGGTTATCATTACTTCCAGTGCCTGGCAAAAGACATCTTAGAAGCGTGTGTGTGTGTGAGTGTATGTATATATTTCTAGCTGTATATACAGTCGTCCCTTGGTATCCACAGAGAATGGTTCTAGGACCTGCAGTGGATAGCAAAACCCGAAGCCACTTAGGTCCCATAGTTGGCCCTTTGTATCTGCAGTTCCATATCCACGGATTCAACTAACTGTGGATCATGTAGTATTTATTGAAAAGATAGTATTTATTGAAAAAAATTCACTGTAAGTGGACCCTCTCAGTTCAAATCCATATTGTTCAAGGGTCAACTGTAAATCCATATATTTCATGGAGATACAGGCACACATATGTGTATATTCATGCATCTGCAAGGATTTATATTTATTTTTGTGTTTATCTGTATATATATATATATATACACACACACATGTATTTTAGATGTATGTCTGTGTACATATATATATATATATTTTTTTTTTTTTTTTTTCTAAACTAAAGTTTATCCTGATACTTCTGTTTCTAATATAGTACCACAAGGTTCATTCTAGTCTTGCCTCTTCCTTGTAACTTCTTTCTTCAACAGTGAGAAATCTGGCTTTGGTGTTCCACAAAATATTTCCTTATTTGTTCAGTCCTAGTATACACATAAAGTAATTTCAGGATTTCTAACCCATAGTCCTATGAGAAACAAATTTACTAACTAGAGTACAGTATAGTTGTGTGTAATTCTTTTTGTCTTTAGCCTTATAGTATCCAGTTTAGTATCTAGGATCCCATATCTAGACACTAGTATCGAGTATCCAGCATCTGTTTTCCAAAGTTACCTAGATTAGTTATTTTCTTCCCCTACTTCTTTCGTTGTGGTTATGTTGTTCATTTGTAATACAGTTAATTTTATTTTTTATAGTTTGTATTTCATTTTGGGTTCCTCCACATCTCGTTGTTTTTGTTTTTTAATATACAAAAATGCACCTTTTGTGGTGTACAGTTCTGTGAATTTTGATAAATGCATATAATTGTTTATCCACCACCATTGTCATGATACAAACAATTCTGTCGCCCCAAATATTCCATTACACTTGAAAAATAAAGTTAAAAGTAATACAACAACTTTACAGAAGTTTGAGAAATTAGGCATTTTTGTGTGTTTTCTCTTGTTTTTTTCATAGACATATTTTAAATAACTGTGATGTTAATGTAAATGTATTTTTTAATCCTATGTTTGAATTATATCAGAAATATTTCCCAGTTTCCTGACTTAAAAATCAAGAAATGCTGAAATATATTTTCAACTGATTATTTAATCACACTTTTAAACCACAATTTCTATATTGAATTACGACTTTCCCTTAATAGCTTATAAACGTTATTTGAGCTATTTTATGATCAGAGGCACTGTTGGATGACTTTGTTTCAGTCACATCATACTTTATGCAACTATTTGAATGCTGTGTTCCCTTCTTAGTTTTATATGGGTAATTTATTATAATTTTATAGAAATGGAAATGGTGGAGAGAAAAAAAAAACTCTCTAGAAGGAGACCAAGAGTTGGGAAAGTCTTGGGAGGGTCTTAGGCCAGAATGTCTTCCCCTAGAGATGGCCCTTGTGAGGCAGCAGGTTATTCCTTGAGCACAAAAAGCTGAGGGGCAGAGTCATGCACTCTGACCTGGAAATATTACTTTTTGAATTCAGAAAAGAGAGCTATCATCATAGCATAGGGGAGCAGTGAAAACAAGCCAAATAGTCAATAATTGGGGTTTGTCAAGTACACCATAAACTGATTAGTGGAAGAGAAGGCAGAATCATTTGAGTTGTATCTCAAATGATACACAAAGTTGAGAGGCAGATGGGATATAAAAGAGCATCTAGACAGAGGGAGCACCTTGCAAGCCAAAAGCAGAGGTTGGGTGATGATATTTCAGTAGGTTGGGTGGATGACTTATGAACATTTTATTTTCTTGTTCAGATAATAGGGAACTCTTAGACGTTTTTATTCAGAGGAGGAGCATGTTGCCTTTGGTGTTTTAGATATATTCTTTGGTGGTAATCTATGGGGAAAAATTGGAGAGG